CTGCAGCGACTAGGTAGTTCTTAACACTGGCTTAGTTCTTATGCCACTCCTTGCTAATGGAATTGAAAGGGAACCCGCCGTTCCGTAGGTCACAGGAAGATACAGTAGGGTTTTACCGTAGGTATACTGGTAATAGGTGAAGGTGATTTCGGTATATGCTGCCTCTCATGTGAAGAGGTTAGGTAAAGGTAGAGGAACTTCAGCATGAGCCAACCTAGGCATGGTATTGGTGAATTACGCTTGAAGATGACTAGATGATACTTTCTGAACGACGTTGTTATCGTCGCGTAATAGGTAGTACAGAAATGACTATTTATGAAGCGTTGCCTTACGCAAAGCCAGTGTACCATGTGTAATTTGGCTCGAGCGAACGAACAAATTTGGTCTTGCATAAATGAGATGACAGTACAGAATGTGTGCTTCGATGCTGGCGTTGTTCACAGAACGGCACGGCAAGCCATATGAGGGAATGGAGTATGGCGGACACCAACCTCTTCGGCGAACAATTACGGTCAATATGTGATTTACGACGTAGCCGGGGGTAGACAGACAGATTGCGTCATCATAAGCCAGAGATGACGAAGCGGAAAGCACCTTGCCGTTGCCTTTGAAGAACGGCAATTGCCGACGTCGACGTCGACGACGACGACGACATCGACATCGACGAGGCATGCACACCTTGTAATTACGTCGTGGAGGCACGAGAATTAATCTCGCACTCGTCGTCGCCCTCGTCCTCCTCCTCGTCCTCGTCGTTGTAGTTGTCGAGCTCGTCGTTGCCGCCCCGTCGCCTGCGTCCTACACGTTTATTGAACGGACTGGCCAACGACGAAACGACGCAGTGCGGATATCCGTCAGGTGATGGACCGAGCGGTAGTCGAAGAACGAACGGACGAGGACTAGGGCCAGCTAGTATGAGTGACGATGATTATCGTCCACTCCTCAATCGGTCACGTCCCCTGAACCAGGCTAGGAAGAAGACCGCCACCACCAACCAAACCGCGTCCGTCGGCAACCACAAGCGCAGGCAGCCTGCGATCGGTCGGTTGGTCAGTCGGTCGGTTGGCCGGTCGGTTGGTCGGTCGGGTTATGTCTTTCCGGCAGCAGATCGATACACCGACTGTGGCTTGTACTCGTTTCTCACTTCCAGCGAGTGACGCGTTCATTCGTCGTGATGCCGGTATTGACAGCGCTTGTCCAAAGAAAGTACCGACTGACCGACCGCCTTTGAGTGTCCACCAGATCTAGGTGACCTTCGGCCGAATCCAGAGACCATCAGCCATCACTCGAAGCCGCGTCGTCAAATACTGAAAAGCCCATGCCGGTCCACGGTGCCAAACGATTCAGGTTGCGCACGTCTGCGGGTATTCTCAGGACAATCGAACATGACTTCGTGAGTGTTATTGCTTGAGAATACACACGGACGACTGAAAGCAAGCCGGGCGCCAAGGGACGGCGAAGACAGGGACCGAACGGGACGTGCGAGAAACCGAACGGAACGATCCACCCGGTAAGCTTCTCCCTTAAGCCCTAAGCTAATCGCTCGAGAGCCTACGTTATCAGTCTGACTGTCTGATTTACTTTCACAGTTTGGGTCACTGAACGTTAGATGCCAAACATTTATGACCTATGATTTATGAGTTATGCCAAACACCGTTTCGGCTTATCGATTTCCCTTCTGAAACTCCAGTCAAACTTATGTACCTCGTCAAGTTTTACGTACAGTACCGTAATGTCTACAGCCGAGAACGCAGTTGGAAGAAACAGCGGTTATGCTATCCGTTGGCCGATCAAATCGCTGTCGCGACAATCCGTCGCTTAATCCAAGACGTAAGAGCTGCGACTAAATAAGGATTAACAAAGGCCACAGCTGCTAAGAGACTGATCAAGTGTTATGCGGGAGAATGGGAAGATCATTGTTCCCTGATGATCACTGATCATCAACGGTAGCTCTTACCATTCTATCTCAAGTTTGTTTAATATTTATTTTTTATCTGTGACTGTGCAAAGAAGTCGAGAAAACAATCGCTTATGCTCTGTGGCCCATCGTTTGTGATCATTCATGTAGGCAACCGTCTATTTAGGATCTTTTCCTTTAAAAGATCGCATGCATATCACCTATCATGTAAAAATCTGACAGAAACCAACCTGCTGAAGTGGGGCACGGTCACGACATAAGCAGCTCATGATAGGCAAGATCAATGTGACTTTGCACTGTGATGATTCAATTTTAGTTAGGTCAAGTGAAGTCATCTAAGAACTGTCAATCCAATTACACTTATTTACATTTATAGATGCAGTTGCCAATTCACTCATAGCTAACGCCCAACTCCTCCAAGACCAAGCTCTACGGTGTGCTGCATTGTCCCTACTCATGGTCGTCTGAGGAGGAGCTAACTCATCATGGTAGCCTGAGGGTTCCGCTCCCATGACACTTGAGCATCTGCAGTACTACATGATTCTCGCATCATTTTGTTCGCTAAAGCCACCTCCCGCTCACTACTTCATAGGTGAGGACTATCAGATCCTGAAACATCGTTCATAATGAACGTGATGTGTCCTTAGAGAACAAAATGATGCGAGATGCATTTCGCAATGGAAGTGCTGCAATACCATGGAGCTGGATCCTGCTTGAATGACATCTCCTACTCCATAGACCACTGTAAGCAAGGGAGCGGGACAATATGCCTAGAAATTTACTCGTGGAAGAGTTATGCTGCCATCCACAGCTGATTGTTTATCATTTCACAGCAAGCGATTGAGATTCTAGAGAATAGTGCAAAGCGCATTTCCTGACCTCAGACCCATTCCGTGATCTCGCATTCCTCATCATTGCTTTCGCTTCACCATACGCTGCATTTGGTTTAAACTAATTTACCATGGACTGTCCTCATTATGCAAATGCTCACGAATGTATGCAGAGCTTCTTTCTAATTGTCCAGACGGCTGACTCTCAGCTTCATCTACGAGAAAGACGATTCGACTGGATGCATGCCGCTTCATTCAGTCGCTGATCGTGCGTTTTCAATGGTCTCTGGAATGAAAGATGTCATGCATGTTTAGCCATGCAGTTTTTCTTATCACTCGTATCAGTATCGTCAGATATTTTTGACGCCATAATGTATCCAGACATTGAAGAAACCAGCCAGTTGGGATAAACGTTGTTGGAAGTTAGCCATCCATTGCACTAAGGATTTCTGAAAGCGGTTTATGGACATGCTGGAACCGAGAGTTTAGTGACTGATATCCAAGAACCGACAGAACCGCATTGTAGGCACAATCGGCTCTTTATCATTAGGGTTGCCAGAGAGTCGAAAGAGCAGAAGGAAAACTGTTGCGCAAAGTCCTCGTTACACATCAGAGTTATGAATACTATTTTTCTTTTGTTTTCTCATGTGCAATCTGTTCCACGTTGTCATTTACCACCTGTGCTAATAAATATTGCGAATAAAAAACTTTTCTTCCACTTCTTCTTCCGCTTTCTGCCTTTCCCTAAAAACATGGATTGACGATCCTCAGAAGAGTCGGGCCGAAATCTCATGGAATGATGTTTGATGCCACAGAAGAAAGTCAAACTTCAGAGCCCGAGAAATTAAAGCATATTATGTAGTAAATGCTCCAAATGGGAGGAGGGATATTTGCTACTTTGTCTAGTCCGGGTGTTTAATCAGATTGGCAGAATTTGTGCCGTTTGAAACTTTAATTCACAAATAAATTAATTCACCACTTTTTTCCATCAGCTGTGGCATCAGAAGCTTGCTGTCACATTATATCATCTTGTGGCACCGAATTTAGAATAAAAACCATAGACAGATCGTCGAAGTAGGGCGATGCTGTTGTAAGAATGACAGATTCCATAAAGTGTTAATTTCGCATTAGATTTGCACAACAGAACACAGCCACGGTAGTGAAGACTCATCGACGAGCTTTGAGTCAAAACTACTGTCACTGAGGAACATCACCATCAGTTGAAATCTGATCGTGTCGATTCATTACCGCTTCGTGTTTATCTTGTATCACTCAAAAGCATTGAGAAATGAAAATCACTTAATATAATTTCCTGCAGAAATATTCTACCTG